CTGATATCAGTCCTGCAGATACAGGCTCTCAGAGCCCCCTGGATGTTCTTCCCCTTCCAGCACTGAATATAATCGTTATTACTTTCTGAGGTAGGTGGCTTATTTAATAGCTAGGGGCTCCCACTGGATCATAAAGGCTAAAAGTCTTCATCTGTTTTATTCACTACCATGTGCCTAACGCTTAGAACGATGTGCCTAGAACGTAATGGATGCTCAGTTAGTAAGTGTGAATGAAGGAATACAGGAACAAGCGAATGAAGAAAGGAAGTGAAACTTGGGCCAAGATAAATGTGTAGGGAGGCAAAAGTTCAGGCACAAAAGGTAGACAGCACTCACCTGTACAGTTCCGTGAGAAGAGACAAGACAGGACACCTCTGAGGCGGCACAGACCTGTGAGTTGAGTTGGGGGCGAAATGCCTGTTCAAAGCTCACTGCCATGGCAGCTGCCAAAAGATCACCTCCCATTAGCCTCCGCTAGACCCTCAGGGACCTCTCCCCATCCCACACGCCTCAGCCTCCCCCATCAGAGCCAGTTAGCACAGGCAGAGAAATCATTTCATGTGGCTGCAAAGAGCCGGGCAGAGCTGAGCCCCAAACAGAGAACTCCTTCATTTTCTTCTTCTTTTTTATTATTATTTTTTGAGATAGAGTTTTGCTCTTGTTGTCCAGACTGGAGTGCAATGGTGCGATCTTGGCTCACTGTAATCTCTGCCTCCCGGGTTCAAGCGGTTCTCCCGCTGCAGCCTCCGGAGTAGCTGGATTACAGGTGTGCACCACCATGTCTGGCTACTTTTGTATTTTTAGTAGAGACAGGGTTTTACTATATGTTGGCCAGGCTGGTTTCAAATTCCTGACCTCAGGTGATCCACCCACCTTGGCCTCTCAAAGTGCAGGGATTATAGGCATGAGCCACTGTACCCGGCCATCTTCTTCTTCTTCTTCTTTTTTTTTTTTTTAGTTTCGTCATGTTGCCCAGGTTGGTCTTGAACTCTGAGCTCTAGTGATCCACCTTCCTTGGCCTCCCAATATACTGGGATTACAGGCATGAGCCACTGTGCTTGGCTGGACTCCCTCATTTTCAATAAGAGCCTTGGAAGTGGGAGCATGCTAGTGTGGACACAATTTCTCTACTCCCATCGTAGTCTTTGGTCCCAGTGCCTTTTCCTGTACGGGGATACTGAAGGTCTCTCTTGTATCATCATCACAAATTGGGGCAGGTGCCCAGGGATTTATACGAATTGTATAGAAACCTACCCATCTGCTTGGCCAGGACTATCTCCCCCGGGAAGTTGGCAATAACCGTTGACTTTCCCTCCGTTCTCCACCTGCTCGGGTTGCTCAGAAGCACCACTGGATTTGTTGATCCTCCTTCCCCCATCTAGGAATTCTCTCCTCCCTGGCCTGCCCCTGGACTCTGCCTCTGTGATTACCCCTTTCTCTCCCTTGTTGCCTCCTCTATTCCCTCCAAAACTCTAAAAGTCTTAGGCTTTCCTCTTTTCACTCAAGTCCCTTTCTCAATGGCCCTATCCATTTCGGCAGCTTCAGTGTCCTCTCCACATGGGTGAACCCCAAATATCATCCTTCTTCCTGACCTTGCCGCCAAGCACTCGTCTCTCATCCCCAGCCGCCAGCAGGATAAAGTCAAAGTCCGGAGCTAAATCCTCAAGTCTCCTGCCGTCTTCCCTCCTCTTGCAAACCTAGCTGAGATGGGAATTGCAGCTGCCCAGGCTGCACGAGGGTGGGGCCGGAACAGCCAGTGGTCATAGTTCCAGTACATTCCTGCCTTGTCTGGCTGGCCACTGTGTCTCCTGAAGTAGGTCCACATACAGGACACAGTCGGGTTTGAAACCACACATCTGGGGACAAAAGAGGGTGAAAGATACATTTGAAGGCTGTCAAGGACAGAGAATGGACAGAATGTATTCCCAGGTATGGAGCTCAGGGAGCATGGCTTGTTGGGACTCCTGGACCCTCTGGCCAAGATCTTTCCCTTTTGTCAGGCTGGACTGCTCGCCCCTCCACTTCGCTATTTGTTCACTTGTTATATCCCTGTCTCTCCTTCCAAACTTGAAGCTCCATTAAGATAGGAAGGACTATCTGTCTTGCTCTTTGGCCACTCCAGGCATTCAATGAGTATCTGTTGAATGAATAAATAGAACACGCTCTGCCCCTTTCCCAACTTTTTGCCTGTGTTTTTTTTTTTTTTTTTTTTTTGAGATGGAGTCTTGCTCTGTCCAGGCTGGAGTGCAGTGGCATGACCTCAGCTCACTGTAACCTCCACCTCCTATGTTCAAGCGATTCTCCTGCCTCAGCCTCTAGAGTAGCTGAGACTACAGGCACACGCCACCACACCCAGCTAATCTTTTTTTTTTTTTAGTAGAGATGGGGTTTCACCCTGTTGGCCAGGATGGTCTTGATCTCTTGACCTTGTTATCCACCCACCTCGGCCTCCCAAAGTGCTGGGATTACAGGCCTATGCCTTTATTCTTATTTTTTCCCTTGAGATGCTCTGCACCCTCCCTCCCTCTCTCTTTCCACATGTCAAAATCCTTCCCATCCTTCAGACCCATTCAAATGACTCTTCATCGTGAAGTCTTCCCTCACCCTTCGGCTTGGAGCCTCCTTCTCCCTGCTAACTCCCCATGGCACCTGACTTGCCTTTATTAGATCACTTACACCTTATGCTTTGGATTCTTATTATTTCTGTACCCACCTCTGTCCCCCTAATAAAGCACCAAGATTTAGCCTTTTCTCTCCTCTGGGCCTCTGCCCCTTGCTGATGACTCCCTCTCTCCCCCAGCAGCACAGATGTTGGCCACAGACAGCAGATCCAGGATCGCCCCATGCCTTTCTACTTCCTTGGCACAAGGAAGCACGGCTGCTTAAGGGCAGGGGCAGGGTCATCGGTGTATTCTCTCTTCCCTCTTCCCTGGCACAGCACTTTCTATGCAGTAGGTGCTCTATAAGTACTCAGTATAGGAAGGCAAGAGTACAGATTGCATTCGGCAACTTTTTACTCCAGATGCTGCTTCCTTGGAGCCCAAAGCAGCCTCCCTGAGCCTCCTTTTCCCAGGCTGGGAGCTCACCCATGCAGACTGGGCTGCCTCCAAGGTCTCCCTCCTTCCTCTCCACCCTATCACTGTTAAAACTTTGCCTAAACCGGGTCCCAACCCAGCACCATTTCAGACATTTGCATGGCCTGACCACAGCCAGTAGGTCGGGGGAGGCTGAGCTGCAGGGATTTTTCTGGTCTCACAAGGTCTCTTGGCAAGAGCCCAGGAGAACAAAAGTTGCCTGATGAAGGGGGCAGGGCTCCAGGGTTGGGAGCATCATGGCGGGGGGCCAGGGGGTGCTGTATTTCCTGCGGTACTGAGGAAGTAGAAAAGCATGGTGGTGAACCTGGGTCTGCTTCCTTTAGCCACATCTGTGCTGATGGAGGCGACCGCAGGGTGTCTAGGGGTGGGGGTAGAAAGTGGGGGCTAGATGAGTCATCAGGGAGGGGCAGAGGCCCAGAGGAGAGCAAAGGCTAAATCTTCCCCAAACCCTTCCTGTTCAGGCTGCCAGAGATGGAGTGGCAGTTTTTTTGTTTTATTTTTGAGACGAGGCTCACTCTTGTTGCCCAGGCTGGAGTGCAGAGGCATGATCTTGGCTCACAGCAACCTCTGCCTCCCAGGTTCAAGCCATTCTCCTGCTTCAGCCTCCTGAGTAACTGGGATTACAGGTGTCCAACACTACACCCAGCTAATTTTTATACTTTTAGTAGAGATGGGGTTTCATCATATTGGCCAGGCTGATCTCGAACTCGTGACCTCAGGTGATCCACCTGCCTCGGCCTCCCAAAGTGCAGGGATTATAGGCGTAAGCCACCGAGCCCAGCCTGGAGTGGAAGTTTTTCCAGCATATCTAACACCTGCATTTTAGGAGCTTTTGCCCCTGAGCTAGACCCCACAACCCTACTTTGCTCTGAGGAAATCCTCACCAGGGTGCCAACTTCTTGCTAAGGGCAGCAGTAGACACCCCTGGAAATGTCTAGGGGAGGGGTTTGTCTTAGGAAGGAGCATTGTGGAGCTCAGGGCTCAGGCTAGCGGTGGGGCCAGTGGTGCGTGGAAGGTGAGGGAGGAGCCCCCGCCCCCGAAGGGGAGTGGAGCTGCTGAGAGGAGTTGTATCTTGAAGGAGGTGGGCCCAGGTGGGGCTGCTCGGCCTTGGTTGGCTAGAATTGGTGGGGCCTGGGAAGGCGGGAGCTGGGAGGGTTAGTTAGCCCCTTGACATTCAACACAGAAAAATTCCTCAACAGGAAACTATAAAAGAGTCATCTGTAGTAGTCAGCAAGAGGCACTAACTAGTGGTTTCAAGAGGAACTCAACTAGCAGAGCTTGCTAGAACTTACTATGAGAACCTTGGTGGAGCTGCTAGAAACTGCAGAGAATTAAAGACAATTACACAGGCTGGGCCAGTGGCTCATGCCTGTAATCCCAGCACTTTGGGAGGCTGAGGCGGGTGGATCACCTGAGGTCAGGAATTTGAGACCAACCTGGCCAACATGGTGAAACCCCATCTCTATTAAAAATACAAAAATTAGCTGGGTGTGGTGGTGCATGCCTGTAATTCCCAGCTACTCGGGAGACTGAGGCAGAAAAATCACTTGAATCTGGGAGGCAGAGGTTGCCATTGCACTCTAGCCTGGGCAACAGATCGAAACTTCATCACAAAAATACAAAACAAAAAGACAATTACACAAATGAAACTATTTAACTATTTAGGCAACAGACTAAGGTAGTAGCTCAGAGAAAGAACCAGTCCTCCTGGGATGAAATTCCAGTTCTTATTCAGGTGACCCTGGGCACCTTAACCTCAATTTTCTCTTCTAAAAAAATGGGATTAATCATCATACCTATTTTATTAGGTTATCATGAGGATTAAATGAGTTAATATAGGTAGAGAAATTAGAACAATGCCTGGCACCATAGCAAGCACAATATACACATATACTGCTAGTATTATCATTATTATTATTTAGAATTGAAATCTAGAGCCCAGACCCTTGGCAGATGTATTTAGATTCTTGCTACTCAAAGTTTGGTCCACTGACCAAAAGCACATCAGCATCGCCCGGGAGCTTGTTTAAACTGCGGAATCTCAGACTCAGTCCTGGCTGCACTGAGTCTGAACCTGTATTTAACAAGGACCTCGGTCAAGCGAGTCCATTTTAAAGTCTGTGAAGCACCTGGAGGCCACACCAGGCAGAGATTGGGCTACTTTAAAAAGGAGGCCAACAAGACTTAGGCTGCCTTGCTGTGGGGTCCCCACGGCCTGGAAAGACCCGGGACCCTACACGTCGGTGTGCTGGGACAACCTGGTGCCCAGTGCCAAGGTAGGGGCGCGGTGGCTAAGGCCACCCCCCCAGAGCCCGAGAGATGCAGCGAGGTCCAGTGGCGGCTTGCTGCAGTACCAGGTGCTCAGGAGGCGGTCCACCTGCTCCCGGCTGGAGATTGCGCGCAGATGGGCCTTCCCGCTGCCACTGTCCAGGTCTTCTGGGGGCTCAGGCACTGGGCAGGGCTCAGGGCTCCTGTCTGCAGGATGGCGGCGCAGCCCCCGCGCCTGCAGCTCATTCTGCATGCTGGCGAAGAAGTGCAGCACGCAGCGGTGCGCGAAGTCCCGCGCATGCTCACAGCAGGTCTCGTCGAAGAGCTTCTGCTCCAGGTCGACGTAGTTGCTCCAGTATCTGCGCTGCAGGAAGACTGTCTGGTCGAAGAAGGGCCTCAGGCAGCGGGCCAGGAAGGCCACGATGATCAGCAGCAGAGTGACACTCCAGCCAATGGCCTGCAGGGTAGGGAGGCCCGAGGTTAGGTGTGGGTGAGGCCTAATCCTTAAAATACCTATTTATGAATGAGTATATGAATGTTGCATATTTGACCATGTCTACATAATAATATTCTGCATTTTCCAATGGATTCAAATACTCCTTAGAGAATTTGACTGCAGCATATCACTCCAAACATCATAGTTCATTAGAGTATTGATTGAAATGGGAGCAAATAATGGGCACAAATAAAATTAATGTGATCATCAGATTACATGTCCTTTTTTGTATCCCTGTAACCTTGTAAATTGAATTAACTCTTAGAGCATCTGCTACTTGAGGAATTGTCCTGCATAGTGTGGCAAAGAGATTCCAAAGTCCCTCCTTTTACATTTCCCATCCATCTTTCCTCAAATCTATCCACTTTCCTATTCAGTCATCGTCCTGCCAACCATCCTCCATCCATCCATCTATCCTCCCTTCCATTCATTCTCTCATCCTTTCATCCATTCACCCGTTCAACCATCTCTCCACCCATCCAATCATCCGTCCTCTTGTCTGACTGTAAATCTGTCATCTTCCCATCCATTCAACTTCCTATCCTTCCACCTGTCCATTATCTATCCTTCTCTTCTCCCACCCATTCATGCTACCATATGCTCCTCCTTCCTTCCCTTGATCTACACATCCACCCCCTCATCCAACCATTCATCATCCATCTTCTCATAATTTTATTTATTTACTTTATTTTTTGAGATGGAGTCTGGCTTTGTTGCCCAGGCTGGAGTGCAAAGATGCGATTCAGCTCACTGTAACCTCCGCCTCCCAGGTTCAAGCAATTTTCCTGCCTCAGCCTCCCGAGTATCTGGGACTACAGGTGCATGCCACCATGCCCAACACATTTTTGTATTTTCAGTAAAGATGAGGTTTTACTATTTTGGCCAGGCTGGTCTTGAACTCCTGACCTCATGTGATTCACCCACCTCGGCCTCCTAAAGTGCTGGAATTATAGGCATGAGCCACCATGCTAGGTCCCTCTCATCTTTTTTATCCAGTCCCTTGTCATCCTTGTGGGTGTTTGTCTATCTTCTCATCTAGGCATCCACTGTGCTATATTTTGTGGGAGGCCCTATGCTAGGAACTGGGGGCTCAGTCTTTGCTCTCACAGAGCTCATACCTTAGTGGAGGAAACAGATACTTAAATAGGTGATGACTGAGTACGTGTCATAGAGAAGGAGTTCAGAGGAGGGACACCCAAGTTGACCTTGAGGGCCAAGACTGACGGATGAATGACAATGACACATAGTATGAACAGAGGACAGTGTTCCAAGCCAGGAGCGAGAACAAACTGGAAGTAGTTCTCTAAAGCTGGAGCCCACACCCGGCAGACTCCTTTTCCTCCTCTCCACCTTCCAAAGCCATAGTCTCTTCAAGGCCTAGTTTGAGACCTGGGCACTTATGTGGACCTGGAGCAGGGAAGTCACGCCGCTAAACCACAGGGACATATTTGAATCCTTAGCATTTACAGAAGTGATTTCCATGATTTATAAAGCTCTCTCATTTGGCATCTCAGAGGACTCACCCCCATCAGTAAATTTAAGGTGAGTAAAACCAAACAACTTGCTAAACTTTACGTGACTGATAACCTACAGCTGAGTCAGGATTCAAACCCTGGTCCCACTGCAAATTCCATGCTCTTTCCACTGAATTAGGGAAAGCCTAGAATGTTGAAGCCTGCAGGGATTATCAAGATGGGGAAGACCAAGCTCCCCTGTATTTTGCATGGGAAACAGGTTCAGAGGGGTAGTCCCGTGGCCAAGGTCACAGTCTGAGCCGGAATCAAGAGCATCCTGCACCCTGGTCCTCCCTCCACCGCACCGTTGGCCAGCCCATGAGCCTGTCAGACTCCCCAAGGGGCAGGGGCTATGTCTTTATTATCTACAGCCCTGGTGGTGCTCCGTGTGTAGTGGGTTCACATAGATATGTTTTGGTGGACACAGCCCAGAGCTGGGGCTCTGGGAGCAGTGGTGGTGAAATCTGGAGTCTGGGCTGGGAGTAGAGCTGGGGTTTGTCCCCCAGGATAATAGAGTTGGTGCCTTTTGGGAAGACTGGCATCTGGAAAGGACCTACATTGTTGGAAGGTGGTTAAGAGGAATAATGAAATTCTATCAGATCCCTGCTCTGCCTCTTATAAGCTATGTAACTTTGGCCTTATGAACGAAATTCTCAGAGCCTGCTTCCTCACCTGGAGAATGGGATGATAATTTTTTTCCCCAAATTAAATGAAATAGTACATATAAAATGCTCATTGCAATGCCTGGCACACAAATGCTCAACAAGTGGAGATTGGTATTATTTCTCATGGGTGGGAAGAAGGTGTGCAGTGCCTCCTGGGGATGGGCTCAGCCCGTCATCCGTCATTCCTCATCACCCGCAACCCCACCCCAGAACCAATGCAGGGGATTGGTGAGGGTGCAAGGGCGAGGGGAGGATCACCCCAGTTACCTGTGACAGGCACCGCAGGTAACGAGACACTGCCTTCCGAGCAGGGCTATCCCTGACCAGCTCGTCCTCCTTGCAGGGAACCTTGGCCAGAAACAGCTGTACCTGACTGGGGGTCATGTTGGCAAAGTCCAGAAACTTCTCAGGGTCCACAGAGCTGCTGAAGGCACACACGAAGCACTTCCCATCAAGGAGGGCCAGCAGGATCCAGACCAGGGGGGCGGCCAGCGCCCTCTGCAGCACAGAGGAGCACATGTACCTGGGAGTGGAGGAAGGAGGGTGTCGCAGGGGGTAGCCCGAAGTCAGCTGCAGCAAGGCCGCTACAGGGGGAATGAAAGGATGGACAGCTGGGAAGTCTCAGGTGGGGTTACATCAGGCTGCAGCTCCCAGCGTAGAGTTCTCAGCAACGGAAGGCAGGGAGGAAGGAGGGCTGGGGGCCCTGGGATCCCCAGGGCTGTTGCACTGAGGAGTTGGTATTCCTTTTGTCTTAGGCCTTGCAGCAGACACTGCTGGTGCCCTGTTCATGCCTGAGGCATCTGTGGCTTTGGTGGCTTGTTCTATTCACCTCCTACCTCAAGCACCTGCATTGTTCTGCCCCCAGGGCTTTGGAGGATTTTTTGCTCCAGAGACGGGTAGGCTGAAAGCATTCAAAAGTTACCTCCCAAATCAATCTTCAACCCCAGACAGACAAGGCCTTGTGGATAAATATCCCAGTTTCTTAAATCCTCAGTGGGACAATTCTGAGGTGTGTTCTATGCATGCTCTGAGGGGACCCCCAAGGGATTGAGCCCCCGTTGCCCACTCATTATCACATTCTTTCCAGAGCCTGCTTTTGGAGGAGAGCCTAAGCTAAGACAGCTCTGCCCGGTAACCCTCCAAAGGCAGCACCTCTAACAGCTCTACCCACAAGGCATCCCAGGAGCCCACCCTCCGAATGGCCTCAGGCATATTTTTTGACCAACTCTGCCCCTGCCTGTAGTGACCTTGATGGGGTGTTGGTCACAGGACAGGAGCCCAGTGGAGCTGTGCCCACTGGACCACAGAGGAAAAGCCAAGGACACACCCAGTGCCTGTGACCCACCCTGCACAGCTGAATTGCAGGGAGATGTGATCCCCAGAACACAGAACAGAGGCTCAGGGTGCACTGGGTGCAGATGCTGTTTCTGCCTTGTATTGTACACAAAACCTCTAATGGTGGCCAGGCACCGTGCTTCGCACCTGTAATCCCAGCATTTTGGGAGGCCAAGGCAGGTGGATCACCTGAGGTCACGAGTTCAAGATCATCTTGGCCAATATGGTGAAACACTTGCTCTACTAAGAATACAAAAATTAGCCAGGCATGGTGGCAGGCACCTGCAATCCCAGCTACTCAGGAGGCTGAGGCAGGAGAATTGCTTGAACCCAGGAGGCGGAGGTTGCAGTGAGCTGAAATCACACCACCACACTCAAGTCTGGTTGACAGAGCAAGACTCTATCTCAAAAAACAAACAAAAACAAAAATCCAATGGTGTGTACCAGGTGTGTGTGCATGACCTACCCACCAGTGTGAGCTATAAATATGTTCTAGGCAGTGGTGGCTTTAGCATTTTCTTTTCTCTTCCTTTTTTTTTTTTCCCCAGGGAGTCTTGCTCTGTCACCCAAGCTGGAGTGCAGTGGCACTATCTTGACTCACTGTAACCTCCACTTCCTGGGTTCAATCGATTCTCTTTCCTCAGCCTCCTGAGAAGCTGGGACTACAGGTACCCACCACCATGCCTGGCTAATTTTTTGTACTTCTTAGTAGAGATGGGGTTTCGCCATGTTGGCCAGGATGGTCTTAAACTCCTGACCTTAGGTGATCCACTCACCTCCGCCTCCCAAAGTGCTGGGATTACAGGCATAAGCCACTGTGCCTGGCCTTGACTTTAGCATTTTCTATGGACGGCAACGTGGTTAGAAGATGCACCTGGACACTAGTTGTGAAGTTACATTAGATATATTTGAGAACACCTCTACTGTCCATATCAGAGAATAGGAGATAGGAGGAGATGGTGTGTGAGTAGAAGCCCGCCAAGCCCTCCTGTCACTGTCTGCAGATATAGAGCACTTAGAGATTTTTTTTCTAAAACAGGAAGGGCAGCTGTTCCGTCTTGGCCTGTTCAGTCAGCCTGGGTTTGAATCTGAGCAATGACACTTCCTGGTTGTGGGAGCTTGGTCGAGTTACTTAAATTCTCTGTGACTCAAGTTCCCCATCCTTAAAAATGGGTCCAAGGTGCAGCTTGAGAACTCAGGTAGAATTCAGAGAGGCCATGTACTCAAAGCTCTTAGCACCGAGCTTGGCCCTTCGTGAGTGTCTGATGAATGGCTCAATTCCAACTGACTCTGCTACAGAGCGCCATGCATGTGCTAGGCTCTGGGGACATAGCATGCAGTAGGTAAGGTCCTCACCCTAGGGAGCTTACAAGAGAGGGATGCAGCCTTTTGTTTTGTTTTGAGACAGAGTTTCGCTCTTGTTGCCCAGGCTAAAGTGCAATGGTGTGATCTCGGCTCACTGCAACTTCTGCCTCTAGGATTCAAGCAATTCTCATGCCTCAGCTTCCCGAGTAGCTGGGATTACAGGCATATGCCACTATGCCTGGCTAATTTTTGTAATTTTAGTAGAGATGGGGTTTTGTCATGTTGGCCAGGATGGTCTTGAACTCCTGATCAAGTGATCTACCCGCCTCAGCCTCCCAAGGTACTGGGATTACAGGTGTGAGCCACCGCTCTAGGGCGCAGCCTTTAAGCCAATCATTACCTCTCACTACGTGCAAAAAACCACTATGCCTGTCATGGGATGGCCCTTCAAGCATGCGGTGAATTATAATCCATGGCCAGTGTGTCTGAGGTGATGTTGGGGCTCAGAAAACGATACTCCAAAATCAAGAAACAAAAGTTTTTTTTTTTTTTTTTAACCTTCTCCTGTCCCTCTACCTGCTCCCCTTCCCCTTCCCCCTACCCAGTCTCTGGCTCCTTATTCTCCCTCAAGACTAGTCATAGAAATTAGAATCCATCTTCTCCAAGATGGGTCATAGAAACCAGAGCTTCTTTTCTCCAAAAGCTGCCTCCGTAAAACCTAAAAATATGACTCCAACTTCCCCCTGCCTTTCTGTCTAAAAACTGGCCATAAAGAAATGATCTGACCTACCTAGTTTCATTGTAGGTCATAAGACTCCTGTCTGGAGAGGGTCCTGCCCCACGTGTGGGAGAAAGGAACACTGTATAGAGAGGCCAGAAAGGACACAGACGGCCTTGCTGAGTTTCCCCACTCTGTCTACAGCATTAGTTCGTCCCTGTTTTTGTTCAGTTCTATTTCTGTGTGGCTATCCAGACCTTGTTGAACCTAAGCATAAAAATGGACCATTATCCCTGTATCTTTGGGTCTTATTCTGCCTGTGGCACATAAAACTATAATCAAGTAAATTTGTATGCCTTTTCTCTTTTTTCTTTTATGAGATGGACTCTTGCTCTGTTGCCCAAGCTGGAGTGCAGTGATGCGATCTTGGCTCACTGCAACCTCCACCTCCTGGGTTCAAGCTATTCTCCTGCCTCAGCCTCCTGAGTAGCTGGGATTACAGGCACTTGTCACCATGCCTGGCTAATTTTTGTCTTTTTAGTAGAGATAGGGTGTCACCATGTTGGTCAGGCTAGTCTCCAACTTCCGACCTCAGGTGATCCACTTGCCTTGGCCTCCCAAAGTGCTGGGATTACAGGCGTGAGCCACCATGTCCAGCCCCCTTTTCTCTTATTAATCTGCCTTTTGTCAGTTGATTTTCAGCAGAACTTCAGAGGGCAAAGAAGAAGTTTTCCTGCAGCCCCTCAGTGGCCTGTGTAATTGAGAATCCTGTGTCGTGTCTATGTTTACAGCACTGGCCATGGAAAGGCGACAAATGATAGGAACAGAAGTAAGTTTCCAGAATGAAAACTGGCAAGTGGGTCTCTGTGAGCCAATAATTCCTAGTTGGGGGAAGGAGGGGGCACACCTGGCAGTACCTGTAGGGTGAGTGGAGAATCCCCTGATAATGGGGATGGCTGGGGTTTGGGGGTGCATCTGGCCGTGCCTGTGGGGTGGCTGGAGAACCCCGACCATGTTCATATGGAATGATTGGAGTTTGGGGGTATACTTGGCAGTGCCTGTGGGGTGGCTGGGGAGCCCTGGCAAAGCCCATGGGTCACCGAGTGGTATGGGAACGCACCTGATGATGCCTGGGTCCTTCCTCCGGTGCCCCGAGGGCCGGCGCCACTCCTCAACCATCACCACGGACTGCCGGTTGGCGAGGAGGCCGCAGAGAAACAGGGCGAATGGGGGTGTGAGCAGCAGGCCCAGGCCGTAGAGTGCATTGTAGCTCGCCAGGCAGGGACAGTTGAAGTCAAAGGAGGAGTACAGCTTGACGGTGACCGCAGCCAGCAGCAGGCAGATGCCATTCATCACCGACTCTGAGCTCGACTGGAAGTGCTGGAAGAGCATGCGGAATTTATCCATGGCTCCAGCTTGGGTGGGTGGGTGGGTGGGTGGCTGTTGGGCGGGCACAGGGAGACTCTGGCCACCTTCCTGGTGTCTGCTGTGCTGGGAATGAGCCTGGGATCTGCAAGCAGTTCTCTCTCTTCTTCCAAGGGCCTGAGGGGCTGAGGAGGAAGCAGTGCCCAGGCCCCAGCCCAGGCTCCTGGAGTCCAGCCGGGCACTTAAGGCAAGGACAGGCTCTCTCCACAGTCTCCCCTGCCCTGGTGCCACTCCCCTTCTCTCTGAGGGAATGACTCACCCTCTGTGACCAGCAGCACAAAGCACCTCTAGGCAAATGGGCTCCACCCTGTAACTCCATTCCTCCTAGCCCATTTCTCTTTGCTTTAGGGTCTGGATGCTCAGGTCTGACAGCTGCTGGGGCTTCCCTCGGGGGACGGGCAAATTCTGGGTGTGGTGAGGCAAAGATGCTGATAGAGCCAAAGTATATTTTCTGGTCTTGATCAAAAGCATGACTTTGAACTTGTTTCGGAGGCATAATAAAACAACAACAGCAGCAACAACAAAAAAATATGATGACTCCGTCAGCCCAGGGAGATTTCATGTTGGCTTTTGTGCTGCATGGAGCCAGAAGGGGCACCCATCCTGCCTGAAGGCTTCTTGGAAGAGGAGACCCTTGAGAAGAGTCTTCAACTATGTTTCAGGATTTGCCATGAAAGGGGTGGTGGAAGGGGATGGCCTCCCTGGGAGACGTGCTAATCACTGTGCATTAACCACTGGGTGCCATGGGAGAGGCTGCTCAAGTGCCATGCCCCGCCCGCATGGGTTTCCCCACTTCCCCGTGTGAGGGGTATGCATGTGAAACCACTGCCTCTTCTCTTAACTCTCCTGACGTCACCAGGTCTCTTCTTGTGTCTCAGTTCCAGCCTCTCTGAAGGATGACAGCCCAGATATTTGAGGGACCCCAAAAACCTGCAAAATGATTTTTTTTTTTTTGAGACAGACTCTTGCTCTGTCGCCCAGACTGGACTGCAGTGGCACTATCTCGGCTCACTACAACCTCTGCCTCCTGGATTCAAGTGATTCTCCTGCCTCAGCCTCCTGAGTAGCTGGGACTACAGGCACCCCCCACCACGCCCAGCTAATTTTTGTATTTTTAGTAGAGACGGGGTTTCACCATGTTGGCCAGGCTGGTCTCCATCCCTTGCCCCCGTGATCCTCCCTCCTCGATCTCCCGAAGTGCTGGGATTACAGATGTGAGCCACCATGCCTGGCCGCAAAATGAATTTTGTAAAGGTCACTTAGCCTGTAAGTCAGATCCTCCCAAATAAGTCCTGCAAATTTCACGACCACCAATGTGGTCTGTACTTCTGATGAAGACAGAAAGAAACCTGGGTCTTATTATTATTATTTGAGTCTGAGTCTTGCTCTGTCATGCAGGTTAGAGTGCAGTGGCATGATCTTGGTTCACTGCAGCCTCCACCTCCCAGGTTCAAGTGATTCTCCTGCCTCAGTCTCCCGAGAAGCTGGGATTATAGGTGCCCACCACCACATTCAGCTAATTTTTGTATTTTTAGTAAAGACGGGGATTTCGCCATGTTGGTCAGGGTGGCCTCTATCTCCTGACCTCAGGTGATCCACCTGCCTTGGCTTTCCAAAGTGCTGGGATTACAGGCATGAGCCACTGAGCTTGGCCACTTATTATTTTTATTTTACATATTTATATGTTACGCTGGGTCCTCTGAGACAGAGGGAAATGAGGAGGGATGGGAGAAGATGGGGAGAGCCACCAGCAGCCCTGCGAGTCTGACTCTGAGCAGAGGAGAGGGCAGGACAGGGGTGAGAAACCCTTCAATCACCACCACATTTTCAGCTGGGTACAGTCCCAGAGGGGCTGACTGAGGTCACATAGCCTAGTGGGAACAGAGGTAGGGAGGAAGCTGGGATCCTCCGTCTGTGCCTTTCAGCTTTAGTCACCCATTGGGCTGCTGACCAGAAAAGGAGACTGTCCTGGCCCAAGGCCAGGCTTCTTGACCCTGAACCAGCAGGGCGGGTGTGGAGCAGGTGGGAAGCAAACTGGGCTGGGAGAATCCTGAGCACCCCTCAATCCCATTCTAGTCTCAGGGAGGGATAGAGTGCCCTGAGGGGCCCCAGCCACTTTAACCTTGGGAGTCTCCAGAAAAGAGCAGACAATGCTGGCCTGGCGCAGTGGTTCATGCCTGTAATTCCAGCACTTTGGGAGGCCGAGGAGGGCAGATCACGAGGTTAGGAGATCGAGACCATCCCGGCCAACATGGGGAAACCCAGTCTGCACTAAAAATACAAAAATTAGCTGGGCGTGGTGGCGCGCCCCTGTAGTCCCAGCTACTCAGGAGGCTGAGACAGGAGAATTCCTTGAACCTGGGAGTTGGAGGTTGCAGTGAGCCGTGATTGCCCCATTGTACTCTAGCCTGGGCGACACCGTGAGACTTGGTCTCAAAAAAAAAAAGAATAGACAATGCTTCTGGGAGAAAACTGGGTCAAAGGCTCTCCAGGCCAGCCTTTTCACAGCTCTTGCCTCTGAGAGGTAAGACAGTTCCCAGGGCAGCCTGGGTCCCTGGAGCCCTGCAGGGAAACAGGTGCTGAGTGACTGCAGTGGGGCTGACCCTTGCCGGGTATTTACATGAAATACTTCAGCAAAGAAACAGGCCAGAAAGAAGCCCACCACAAAAGGGATATTATCTCTCAAAGAGAGGGGATGGCTTTAAAACAAAATCTCTATTTTCTGAATGCTCTACTTTTACAATAGTAGACATAATAAATCATTATAATCATAATAATGATTTTTAACAGTTTCCAGTAAAAATCATAAAATATTTTTTGTTTTTTGAGATGGAGTTTCACTCTTGTTGCCCAGGCTGGAGTGCAATGGAGGTGATCTTGGCTCACTGCAACCTTCACCTCCTGGGTTCAAGCGATTCTCCTGTCTCAGACTCCCAAAGTGCTGGGATTACAGGCATGAGCCACCACGCTTGGCCAAAATATTTGTATTGGAAAAACATAAAAAAAATAAAGGACAAGGCCAAAAGGAGAATCCCATTTTGTTGCCTGGAGCCTGGCCCTGCTGAACTAGGAGAGGAAGAAATAGAGGGAGTAATAAATGGAGAGAGACTTCTTTTATTCACACGTATGGAAAGATATTAAATTGCAGATCCGGCCGGGTGTGGTGGCTAACACCTATAATCTCAGCACTTTGGGAGGCCAAGGCAGGCAGATTGCTGGAGCTCAGGAGTTCGAGACCAGCCTGACCAAACCATGACAAAACCCCGTATCTACTAAAAATACAAAAAATTGTATTAGCTTCTTGGGAGGCTGAGGCACGAGAATTACTTGAACCCAGGAGGCAGAGACTGTGGTGAGCCCAGATCACTGCTCTCCAGCCTGGGTAACAAAGAAAGACTTCAAAAATTTTCACATTTTTCTTTCTTTCTTTCTTTTTTTTGAGAGAGAGTTTTGCTCTTGTAGCCCAGGCTAGAGTGCAATGGTGCGATCTTGGCTCACGGAAACCTCCACCTCCCGGGTTCAAGCGATTCTCCTGCCTCAGCCTCTCAAGTAGCTGGGATTTCAGGCATGTGCCACCACGCCAGGCTAGTTTTATATTTTTAGTAGAGTCAGGGTTTCTGGATGTTGGTCAGGCTGGTCTCGAACTCCTGACCTCAGGTGATCTGCCTGCCTCGGCCTCCCAAAGTGCTGGGATTACAGGTGTGAGCCACCGCATCTGGCCTACATTTTTCTTTTTAATAATGATTTAAATCTTTTTTTAAAACCAGTTGTAAATATGTGTTAATTTGCAATTGGAAGATCTTTATAGAATAAATCTTTGGTTTCTTTCTTCGTGTTGTTTTATTTTCAAATTGGAATTTTGCAGATATTTTCTTGGGAGTCTTCCAGATTTTTTTTATCTTTGCAAAGGAGTCTCGATATTATTTGAGAAACACTGGCTTCACCATTCTTGGCGTTCCTGTTATCAAGAGGGTTTTTTAGGACTAGATGCCCCCTACTGGAGAAACTCGTATGTGATGTGTAAGAGATGTGTCTATATAACTGTGTACACGTGTGTACACTTGTATGTGTATGTGTGTAGCGCATATGTACATATTTGGTGTGTCTATGCATGTGTGTATTTATCAATATGGGTGTGGCCATCTTCTTGCTTTGTATATGGTGAGCATGCTCTCCCCTGACGGTTCTTTCGCTTCTTTTTCCTCCACAGGGAGGGCATTGAATGTGCATTCTGCTTTTCAGGACTGGGAGACTATGGTTCTGTGTGTCCAGCAGAGTGCAGTGCCCTTTCTGTCTCTCGGTGGCCTGATTCTCTGCTTCCCTGAGGACACAGGCCTTTGAGGGGTCCTGGCAGACCTGGGGAAAGCATTATGGCACTTCTGTGGGCCCCACTCTGGTGACTCTACAGAGCCACGTAGCCCTAAGGGCAGAGAGAGGCTGAAGATGAAATGAGGCCATCTAACAGATGGCGCTGGAACCACTGGAGAGCCATTAGGGAACAATCTTTACTTCATGCCAAAATAAACTCCACAGGGTTCAAAGATTCAACATAAAAATTAAAGCCATACAAATTCTACAGGAAAACATATATGAATTTATTCATTATCGGAGGCTAAGGAGGGTCTTTATGGACAGACGCCAGAATTTAGTAGCCATGGAGGAGAAGATGGACAAAGTAGGAGTCATAAAAATTAGAAACTTCTATGGGCAAAAATACCAATAAGCAAAATAAAAATAACAAACAGAAAGAAGGGTATTTGTCACACATAGGCCACACAAGGCCTCTTTCCCTTAATTTGCAGAAGGCTCATATAAATCAACAAAAAAGATGAACAATCCTGTAGAAAAATGGGTAAAGGATTTGAGCAGACTGTTAGAGAGAGAGAGAGAGAGAGAGAGAAAGAGAGAGAGAGAGAAGTGACCAAACATCCTGCAAAAATTCTTTTTTGCTCTTG